CCCTGGCGTACCCACTTATACAGCTGGGTGAACAGAGGCGGGGGATTTAAGAAAATGCGTCCACTGTTTGTGACGGGGTACTGCAGCATTGGCTTCGGGTTGCCGAACAAATCCGTTATTGTAAGGTCGCGCTCATTACACACACGAAGTGCTTTCAACAAATGAACCACACTACATCATGGGGCCTCTCCTGGCAGTATCAAAATATAAGAATAGGTTTTAGTTTTTACCCTTCCTGGCAGAAAGGGTAAAACTTATTCTTATAGAACCACAATACCTTGTTGATCTCGTAAAGGAACATAAACCACCATCACGCAAACTCCGGTCATCATCGCAGCAGCAGCAGCAGTTTTTGACTAGCCATCGAATAAAGACGGTCACTGCATCGCGCGCTTTCAGATGTGCTCCTGTGGCTGTCTGGAACGCTCTCTTCCTTCTAGTTTGAAAACTAATTTATTGAGAACTGCTTTTTGTGTTTATAGTCTTGGGTCTTTCGGTAAAGTCACGTAGATAGGTAAAAAAAAGAATAAAAACATAACAGAAAACTACGACGTTTCAATCGCCAGTTATTTTTCTGTTATTTTGATTATTTTCTATGAACCTATCTACGTGACTTTACCGAAAGACCCAAGAACATGAATTCCTGCAGTCACGAAAGCTTTAAGTCAAGATTTTTGTGTTTAGTTTATCGTTATTCCCCTGCACCTCCGATTTGCATGGTTGGCTAAGTACTGTGCGAAAGTAGTTCAACATACTTACATACATACAGAAATAACCGGCGACCTCTTGATTGCAAGTCTAGTGTTCGCTATTCTACCATGGCAACATCTTTGGCAAAAGATAACTGGATATAGAATGTCACAAAAAAATACCATCATTACCTCCACAATGGTCTCCCGACTGTCCACGTCACCCATGCATACCATGGTACGCTCCAAATTAATAATAACACCGGCAACCGCAGTCACACGGGGGGGGGGGGGGGGGGTTGGTAGCTGTTCAGTGTGTTTGGCTCTGATCCATTTCTTTGCAGTGGTGGCGGAGAAGTTACAAACATATCCACCGCTCCTCCGATTAGCACTATTGGCTACGTACGGTGCGAAAGAAGTCAAACATACGTACATATCCGGCTTAGTGTGCCAAAACTGCAGGCAGTGTGGCTAAGCCATGACACACCAGGTTCTGAGCCATTATAACTGTGTGACTCAGCTTCATCCGATAGCTGAGAACAACGACTCTCAAGGACGGCGCGAGGGGGCAATGCAAACTGTGGTGGTTCGAATAATATTAGACTGTACGGAAAAAAGTATCGCTTGATGTGCTTTCGGGTTGTATCGCGCAATGTTCGTTGCGATGCGTAACATTTCTCTCCACGTGCTGGGAGCTTCTTAAGTTCTTCGGCTCCTGATAGAAGGGTCCGGTATGAAACGTCGGACATCGTGCCAAAACAACGCGCGGTACAACCGGGAAACAACTCGGAGAACCGCAGACCGCAACCGGGGAAAACCTTACGCAGCCTGCGTGCATTTTTCCGGACGATGGGTTCCTGAAACAGTTACAGAGAGTGCCTAGAATTGTGATGTCTCGTGTCAAATGTTTATAATAGACTGTGCAAAGAGCACAGGTGTACAAGTTGGGGTACTTTGGATAAATGCTTTACTTGTAAAGGTTTCCAATAACAAACAAAACACCCTGGCAGGTTAGACTGGTGCCACCATTCCAACTTGCCGTGGATATTAACGTTTTTTTTTTACCTTGCGAGATTATGAGACGAATTAAAGCAATACTTTGTTTTCATTAAATTTTTGACGCCTCGGCTAAAAAAGTTTAAAATCGTGTGTGGACGCCGTGCCTACTCCGTGCCTACTCCGTGCGTACTCCATGCGTACTCCATGCGTACTCCATGCCTACTCCGTGCCTACTCCGTGCCTACTCCGTGCGTACTCCATGCCTACTCCGTGCCTACTCCGTGCGTACTCCATGCGTACTCCATGCGTACTCCATGCGTACTTCGTGCGTACTTCGTGCATACTCCATGCGTACTCCATGCCTACTCCGTGCCTACTCCGTGCGTACTCCATGCGTACTCCATGCCTACTCCATGCGTACTTCGTGCGTACTCCGTGCATACTCCATGCGTACTCCATGCCTACTCCATGCGTACTCCGTGCGTACTCCGTGCATACTCCATGCGTACTCCATGCCTACTCCATGCGTACTCCGTGCGTACTCCGTGCGTACTCCGTGCGTACTCCATGCGTACTCCGTGCCTACTCCATGCGTACTCCGTGCGTATTCCGTGCATACTCCGTGCGCGCGTTTTACGCAACGAGAGAAAATAAACCGACAATGGCCGCTGTCGTTACTGTTGCACGAATCGCATCTCTTCAATGCGACAACCCCGAAGTTTCCCAGAAATGCGGCCGCTCGAATGAGCTCCCGAGCTGCCGCCAAAGGTGGCCTGTTGAAACGCCTCTGAGAAATGTTGTTCCCGCAAAAACAAAAAAAACACAATTTATGAAAACAAAGTGAAAACAACATGTATAATTTAAGTGGGGGGGGGGGGGGGGAGGGGGGTGGGAGAGGAAACAGCTCCATGCTCGGCGTAAATTATAGACGAGGAAGTTTGATTGGGACGGTGGCGGCGGTTGGCGGCGCGTTATAATCTCAGCGCTGCGGCTGCTGACGCCACGCTGGGCACGAGTCTGCGTTACCTTTTAAATGGGAAATTACATTTTCAGAGTGCAAGTCAAGGACACGTGAAAAGACGATCTGGATATTTGGGGGCGAAGGGAGGAGGAGGCAGGTAGAAAAAAATATTGTTCACGATCTGGGGTTCCAACCTTGGCACATACCCCCCCCCCCCCCATCGCTCTGGGTGTGGAATTACAGTATTTACTTTTCATCTACTGCTGAAAATGAGCCTAGGGGAAGGAAGGCTCGTGACAATGATGTTGTTAGGAGGTGCAGCACGGAAGATAAAGGTGTGGTGCTAAAGCGACGGTGGTGTTGTGGTGTGGTGGTGTGTGAGGTATGGGGAGGGGGGGGGGGGTGTGGGAGAGCGTTAGTCTCGTGGTTAGCGCGCTGAGTTACAAGCCCGGCAACCCGGGTTCGATTTCTGGTCACTGTCGACCCCAGTGACAATTATCTGAACCGTTCCTGAACTTCCCCTAAATCGACTCAGCCTCAAAATGAGTATCTAGCACGGTGCGTAAACGTCGCCACTGGGGGAGACAAAGGCTGTCGGGCGTGGTGCTGGCCACCCACCCCATCGTGTGCCGTGCCGGCCATCATAGGCACTGATCACTAACAGCACTTGCCCCGACAGCATGTTAAGGATATACGGGGGATCTTTGTCTTTGGTAGGGGGGTGTCACCATAGCAGGAGGAAGAGGGTAGTACAGCCAAGCGTGATGTGGGCTGCGAGATGTGGGGCAGTGCTGTGGAGCGTGAGGTTTGCGAACTATATGGTGATCTGGCTCGGTGTTTCTCAAGCACAGGGGGTTGTCACGTGTCCTACTTTTTTCAGGATTGTCTTATACTTAAGGTAGCCACTGCTGTCTTGGAAAACCTGTAAGTCTTCCCAGGACATTGAAAGTCACGGTTATTGCAAATTGATTAATACCCATAATAATACACCACTCAAAACAATGCGTTTACATGTCGTGTACCCCAAAGCTCCTGGTGATATTGCGAGAAATGATTTTCCTTCCCGTGATTCATCCCAGTTTTTTTCATTGCACAGCAGAGGTGGCAACCCTACCCAAACACCAGTCGTCCATCTTCAAGATCGCCAACGATCCTTTGCGTGCGATGTGCGGCTGCCTCATTTGCATTTCAATTGGGAAAAGATCTGCGATGGTGGGAAGCCGTGCCAGGAAGGTGGTGGGGGGTGTGGGGCTGGCAGGCTGAGGCCTGGGGTTTTTTTTGGGGGAATCACTGCTGGATCCCATGGTGAGTGGCACACAGAGGTGAGGTGGACGAAGTGAGGGTGATGCAATAGAGGACAGCCGAGTTGGCGGGGCGTATCGTTCAGAGCGACGATTTAAAATCTCATGCTTTTGTTAATCCTCTGCTGGATGAGGGCCTCCCTACAGGATGCTGGTCACGGGGGTTGTTTGACCATACTTCACCACGCTGGTTAATGTGGGCCGGTGAAGTTGTGGGGGCTCAAGACTGGTTCGTATTTTGCTCAACAGTGGATGAACTCCGGTCACCAGGTTCATCGTGCAGTACCCATACCAACTGAGCCACAAACTACACCCCTTCGCCACTTTAGATCCCATCAACTCCAAAAATCACACTTGTTTACCAGTCAAAGGATGTAACACTCTTCACGTCCCTATCATCAGCCATCATCCATCCATGGCTCAATAAAAGATATCCTGTCAACAGACCAAAAGCCAAACCCGGTGGCACACCGCTGCTAGAAATTGTAAACAACCAATTCTTACACGGGCGATAAGCGTAACAATTGACTTTAAATCGACGATCCGATGCGTCGCTTTGTCCCCATAAATTGCCGCCAGCACAATGGCAAACGAGCAGGGGTCACAGGTGTGCATTTTCCCCGACCTCTTTTCAAAAGAAACCTGGCTACAAATTACGCGACCACAGGGAGAACACGCAAACTCCAAATATTCAACAGGCGTCAGGGTCGGAATTGAACCTACAACCTCCTGTATACCAGGCGAAGTAGTTAACATCTCGCCACCATGGCCCCCCCCCCCCAGTGTATGGAGAGAAGATCAGTGGAGTAAGATCACCGACCGGGATTTTAACCTTACAAGAAGCGCGGGGGGGGGGGGGGGGGCTACGTGGGTCAGCCCAACTTCACGCCCAAGAGACGTGACCACGAGCACAGGGCGAGATTTGGCGGCGAACCCTCGACCTCCTGCAAACCGGGCGAGGCGGTGAACATCTCGCCACCTTGACGCTTGCCCCCCCCCCAGGTCTCCTTGCGGCGAGCGAAACCGACGCGCGGCGCTCGTGGGCCTCACCTCGATGAGGAAGTCTCCGACTTTCAGCCCAGCCCTGCTGGCCACGCCGTCCTCGTCCACGGACTCGAGGTACTGCAGGGCTGGGAACGCGGCCGAAGGGGTGAACTCCTGCACGGGGACGTTCGCTGCGGGAGTGGGAAGGGAGCGTCGGGCGCCGGAAATGAAGGGACAAAACAACAACAACGTTAAACGTTTTCAAACAGATTCGGGATCGTTGTTTACACCGGAGGAATCCGACGAGCTGTAATAAAGTTATTTTTCGCAGATGTCCAGTAAGTGTGAGTCAGAACGTTACAATAACAAACAAGACGAAAACACGATAGGAGTGCAAAGTATAGGAAAGGTAAGCAAATCACGAATATGTCTCTTATTATTTTACCAGGTAAAGCCCACTGAGCTATTAGCTTCTTTTTCAGAAGCGACCAGGCCACAAATGATAGTGCAAGAAGTGGCTCATCACGTGGAGATTTATAGTAGCAGCAAAGTAATCTAAATAACCTAAAACGAGACGGGGGGGGAAAGGAATCGCGGCAATCCTGAACGTTTCCGCTGCGATGTTTTTCGACATGCCAGAGAGTATCGGCGATTAAGCAGGAGGCTGGGGCTCACCAAATGAGAAAGTAAAACACACGAGGTCCCTTTCATTTGAAGGTCATCGGCGCCGTTTATTCAGAAGCGCCGTCTCAAAGTCTGAGTTTATTTTCTCTTCTCCGAATCCACGGCACGTTGAGGAGGAGGCGGTTACACGATCACCACCCGTCTCGTATGTAGGTCACCGGTGAGCAGCGCCATATTATGCTCCGCAGCAGCAAGTTTCTACCCACTTTGGGTTTTTTTTTTCATGAGCTTAACATGAAGGTAAAGGAAAAAAATATAATATAAACAGAGTACAACGTCGCGTCTCCAGCTAGCTGGGGACTGAGGTATTGGCGGATAAGTGAAAAGGTCAGATATGCGATCATATCTAGGGAAAATGATCGCAATATGCACATGAGTGTGCACGAGGTTCAGAGCACATTACCGTACTGCACGTATGAAAGGTCGTACAGTATTTGCGAAAACGTATAGAAAATGACAATTAAACCACGCACACACACTGCACTGGGTGTGGGCGATTAATTGTTCAAGGCGGATGTGTGACAGTCGAATACGCGACGTTTGTACCGCATGCCAATTTACGCAAAATTAAACTTACATCCTTGCAAGCCGCTTATTTCCCCATCACCCCCACCCCCTCCCATCCTCGTGACGACCTCCATAAACGAACACCCTCCACACGAATTCGTTTGACGCGTGGAAATTAGCTTGCACCCATTCATGTAATAATCCTGCAGCTGCATTTAGCAACATTACCGCCAGCACCAACAGTAGTAGTAGTAGAAGTCCCAGAGGTTTGTGGATGAGTCAATTGCAATGGCTGAGACAGCAGCCATAAGCCTTGCAACAAAATAATCAATTCACAAAATCCCTGCTGCTGCTGCTGCGGTGGTGGCGGCAGTGGCGGCGGACGTCCAAGGTTTTGTGCGTTTGTGATGTGGAGCTCTATGCTGGTCTGTGCGTGTGGATCACAAGAGGCAGCTTGTTGGCAGGGGGCGAGTGGGTTGGTGGGTGGGTGGGTGGGGGGGATTTCTGTGTTCTGTGCAATGAAGCCCTTGGTTTGGACACTCGCCCTCCCGGTGGTGGTGCTCGCCCCGAGCATGAATTATACAGGGGTGGCCCAAAAGTCAGGCCACATTTGGGCTATTCTATTTATTTGAACAAAGCGCATTGGGTTATTTCATTTGCTTCAACAAATGGTCAAAACCCGATTTTCGTTCACCGTGAATGCGTGAAGCATGGTATTCCCTTCTGAAATACATTCTACGACTTTTTGTTTTTGAAGTCTACGGGTGTAGTTGTTGAGCGTGCATTAATTATGTTTAATTTCAATTCGTTCAGGGCTCTTGGTCGAGTTTTGATAACGACGGATTCGAGGTGGCCTCACAGGCCGAAGAAGAATAGATATTAATCATTATAGATGCAATACGAACTTAAAGAACTTGCAATTGCATCCTGTAATGTTCGTGTTAAAATAAATGAAAATAAATGAAGGACACGTCATGGCTTTTTGGCCACGCTGTATTTGGAGGCCCTCTTTCAAATGTACGACGGAAGAGATTTAGAAGAGTAAAGGGGCAGCCCTGCAATAGCTGGCTCTCACCACTGCTGGTGGAGGGTCCTCCACTTATATATATGTACCCACAACCCCCTCCAGTGGGTGTTTCTGGCCTACTCTTCCACACAGGTCAGACGGCCTGTATATGTGCGTACAGTATGTTGAACTTCTTTCACACCGTACGTATCCAACCGTGCTCATCGGAGGTGCGGCATGTATAAGAGATAGCGACAATATATATCAACTATGAGACCTCCTTTACCAGTGGCAAAATATAGTAGTAGGTTTTTACCCTTTCAACTGGTGTGGACCAATCAACTTCAAGGACAGTGCATATCATTATCATCATCAGAGTTGTTTCTTTTTGTTTGCATTTTGACTGCTTGTGTTGCGGTTATTGCAAACATGATGCCTTGTATAAAGGTGTCAGTTTTTGTACCAGTTGAAAGGGTAAAAACCTATTACTATATATATCAAGACGAAAGTGAGATTAGCGAAATGCAGACAACAATAGAGATGCAGTGAGAGGATAGAGGAGGGTTGCAGACTTGAAATAGATACGGTGAATTGTATTCATTACGTTAATTAGTGTGCCTATGTTAGTGATGATTTGAATACTTGACCCCTTGCACCACTTGGGGCATTCAACTTCTGCTGCTTAGAGTTTGCTCGTGCCCCGCACCACCATTGCCCTCCCACACGAACCTTTTTATTCCAAAAAATATGTAAAAAATACAATAAAATATAACCACGCGGATGTGCAATAATGAAGGTTGGGGGGGGGGGGGGTTGGTGAAATTAACACACACCTCCGCTGTGCAGGCAATAAAGCTCACTTGTCTGCGATGTGAAGGCATGAGTAAGTGAGTGGTGAGCACACACACACACAGCAATCCTCATCAGCTGTAATTGGCTCTTTTCAGGATGGGTGCTGGTCCCGGTGGTAAAACCCAGCCAGCAGACCTGTACCTCGGAAACGAGCGGAGCCGTAAGCCTCGAGGCTTAGCCAACATCGAGCTAAGACTGAAACTTGATGATACTGATATACATAAGGATTACACGGTTGCATAGGTGGCGGTGGCAGGGGGGGGGGGATGTGTATGGATGTGTATGGGCAGAGGTAATGTTGCATAACATTTGAACCATACATGCTGTTTCTTGATATGTATAATATGGCAGGGAGGGGGCGGCAGGAGTGGTGGTGCAGTGGTTAGCGCACTGCGCTATGAACCCAGCAACCAAAGTTCGATTCCTGGCTGTGGTCGACATCAGTGTCGAGTGTTATGGAAACCAGTTCTGGCGGTTGCCCAAATCTCACCCTCTCCAGCACCACCACCAACCACCCACCCACTCAATCATCCACGCACACCCCTTCTATCCACCACCACCACCACCACCAACCACCCACCCACTCAATCATCCACGCACACCCCTTCTATCCACCACCACCACCAACCACCCACCCACTCAATCGTCCACGCACCCCCTTCGATCCAGAAGTGGAACGACAATGGGCTAACCCGTCGTGGAACGCGAGATCGCGTTCGTCATTGCGCAACGACTATCGGCCGTGCCTGCCGACGTCGATGCAGACGAAATAATGATAGCAACAGTACAATAAGTCACTCCCCGACGTCTTGTGGTCTCGTGAATTTAAATAAATCCGTCAAACGAATTATACACGAGGCACGACGTCGAATAAAAATGTCTGATTTTACATCGGCGTTGTCTCTTTCGGATTTCTTCCCCCCCCCCTACCCCACACCTTGTCTTTTCAACCTTCCAGGGCACGAGCACATTAAAATATTTACGTCAAGGTTATACATTTTCATTCAAGCCACATGACGTGATTTTACTCGCGCACGGCATTTGGTTTTAAGAGACATTTTGCGCACCAGGGTCACCCCGCTTCCGTTAAGTCAAAGCGCAAAATGTTGTAGGCTCGCTGCAACGATTTCCAGCCACTAAACCTCGCCATTATATTCCGAGGCAAAGCGGCAAATCATTGCCATCATGCCCCATGCAAGGGAATGGCAGACTGCCGCACGGAACAAATTGCCGTCAATAAAAACGGAGGGGTGATGGCTGGCTGGCTACCGGCAACGCATGTTTACGCTGAACAAGATACAAATGCAGCCGATGTACCATCGATTGAAGCGAACAATTGTTTAGCGCAAGCATTCGACGGTGAACCAACGCTGCAGCACATTGATATGCGACGGCGAATGTTTTGCCATTGCCGTAATTTCCTGCTCCCGTGACGGAGGCTTAACTTGGGCTATCGACGGGGGTCTCACAAACAGGTTTCTTTCTCACGAACCACCCCACCCGTAGCCCTGACACCGCACCCACTGCCCCCCGTACGACACCGCGATGTCTAAGGGCACGGCGGCGATGGGAGTCGGGGGTGGGGGTTCAGGGATCATCGCTGCTGACCGTGACCCTTCCCACCCCCCTCCTTCTCCAGGATTCACCAAAATCAGCGGCGGGTACCTTTCGCTCCTCGCAGGACGAAGCCGAAGCCATCGTTGTCCTTCTTGTGCAGAACGACGGTCCGCTCCGGGAAGGGGCACTGGCTGCTGCAAGAGAGAGACTGCTGATGCGAGCTGGTCATGGCACTCCAATAGGGCCCCCCCCTTTACACATCCAGCCCTCGCTCGCTCGCACGCCGGCCGGTCGGCCGGCTATATTAGCAGCGCGCGTGCTGTGACGCGGTGGAACGACGCGTCCTGTCGCTACCGCCGCCGCCGCCGCCACCACCACTGCGCGTCGGCTCGGCGGGGGGTGGGTGGGTGGTGTGGGTGGGGTGGGGGGCGACACCTCCGGCCCCCTTCAGCGAGACGCCGGCGTGCGACCGTCGAGCCGGTGACCGAGCCCAGCCGGGAGGCCCCCCACAAAGAGCAGCGGCCACGCTTCGATGCCGACGCGAGCCGGCTGCCCGGCGCCTTCGACGCAGCGCGCGCTCAACTGAGCCTCGCACGAGCCGGCACACCGGGCCACTGCGGCGGTGGTGCCGCTCAAATGACATTGTGTTTGCACGCTGCCCCCCCTCTCCTCTCCAACGCCCGTCCCTGGCTCCGCCGCTCTCTCTCTCTCTCTCAGTCTCTCTCTCGCTCTCAACGCTCTTCCTTTTTCTCCCTTCCTCGTTCCCCGCTCTCACTACGGCGACGACGACGCGGCAGCAGCAGCAGCAGCCGCCGCGGTGGCGTGAATGACAAAGCGGGAGGATGCTCGCCGCCGCTGCCGCTGCCGCCGCCACATCCGCCCGCCAGCCGTGCCGATCGGCATCACAGGTGTCGACGAAGGACGCTTGGAGCGAGCGAGAGGGGGGGGGGAGCGAGCGAGCGAGCGAGAGGACGCAGAGCTTGGCGTTACATTGTACAGCGTGACCAAGGAAGCTCGCCGCTACAGCTCAAGCCTGGCTCTGATGAAGGCTGCAGGCAGCGAAAAGCAGAGTGGGGTGGGGGGAGTGGTGGGAGAGTGAGGGAGAGGGAGACAGCAAATGTGAGTGAGAAAGCAAAGATTGGAAGAGAGAGGAAGGAGGGGGGGGGGGGCAGCGAGGGGGTAAGGATGGGGTGCGGTGGGATGCTGGATGGGGGTGCGAGCATGAGCATTTGAGGAGGAGCGGGGGAGGGGCGGACGGAGGTTGCCAGGGAGAGGTTTGGAAGCGAGGAAAAGATGTCACCGTGCAGCTGCAGTGCTGGCACGCGGAGGTGGTACGGAGCCTGCCGTACACAGGTGGACCCGTTGCACTGCAGCGAATTCACTGCTAGCGCTTACCCACCGTGCCGCTTGGCCACGCCGCGGCTACGCGGGAGAAATGTTTCAATCGCGGGATTATCTATGTTTTTTTTTGCCGGGCAGCTGGATAGCAATTTCAAAATTACCCGGCAACTAAACTGAACAGGCATTAGCTTCGTGCCACATGGCACACGTTGTTGCACAATAACGACCCCAAAACTTTTGTGGTGAGCCCAACCCTCGGAGGAGAGAGGCTGCTTACTCGAAGGATTCTCACTTCTCACCTGGTCAGGTCAATGGTCGATTGCGAGTGGCGTTTTTCTCCTAAATGTGTCCATGCAGAACGAAGTATGAAAACAATCCTTGCTTAAGCAATTCAGTTACTCACAAATGTCTTAAGATTCTTACACTAAATATCGACGAAAATTGAGGCTTTTCGTAGCACCGTCGTCAGCGAGCAATATGCCGGATCATGTCCATTTGGAGGCCTGGCCCTCTCTATACTCGTGCTTTTTTTCTCCGACAAGAGATATAATCCACGCTGATTTATTTAGTTTGTCCTACGGTTTGTCTTTGCTTCATTGCTGTGCTTTATTATTTTTCGTTATTTCGCATTTTCCATGCTTGGTGACCCAAGTCACTCTTGCAAACGAGACATCTATCCTGGTCTCTTGAAATCTCGCCACGTTTAACAAGAGAAACCAGACATATCTGGGACTATTTCAGCGGCACGAAGCCCTGCGTGTCTATTGGACATCTCCATGCATTGGACTGTCTTGCACAACAGATTTTGTGGGGGGCTGCATGAGGCACGAGGTAGCGGGGTGGTGGGTACAGCGAAGGGAGAGGTGAGGTGAAGCGAGGGGTCCATGTGAAGGGAGCGATCCAGGTAAAGGGAGGGGTCCATGTGAAGGGAGGGTGCAGGTGGACATGGGGGAGGTTCGGGGGGGACACAACACAAAAAGGTGAACTGGTCAAAAATTCTGTACAGGCAACAGCAAAGTTGGCCAATGATTGAGAATGTACCGACACTCGGTAAAAATAACAATGCTATTTTGACCATACCTGCAATTCTGTGAACTACAAGCAGTGGCAATGGTTTAAAGATAAATGAACAAAAGCGATTGCGAGCTGATTTGCCGACGATTGTTGAAATGGTCGACGAAGGAATGCTCGGACAATGATGGCGACAATTGTCACTCTCGCCTTCTTGCATCAAGCCAGCTCCCTAAATGTGGGGGGCTCGATGGCATCGTAAATGCCACGGTGATGTAACGATGCGCCACGACGACATCGTCACGATGTCAAAACAAGCAGTTTACATGCTCATGAAAACCGTGCACGCCACTAAAGTGTTGTTCTCCGGCTGCGTGACAGTAACAAAAACACACGAGCTGTTAACCCGAAGATTACGCACAAACCACCCCTGGATGTGCCCGATCCCGTCGTAGCTAAGCAAGGTTCGGCCTAATTCGCGCGTGGACGGGGAGACTACGTGGGAATACGACCCGTAGACTAGGGCTCGGGTTTTGAGGTCGGCATGAGAAGGCCGCACAGCAGTGGATTGTTGAACAGATCTGGGTGGTGCGTTCATGTTGCCCGCTCACATGTACGTGGGCTTTCTCTGGCCACTCTGGTTTCCTCGAACTCGAAGCCAAACACTCATTGACATTGAATTAGCCAGAACGTAACCATTACAGGACCCCTCGTGAAAAAAAAAACTGTCTCGACTCAGTAGAGAAGCTTTCCTGGATAAATAAAGGGCATTGTCGTAATCCGAGCAGGAGCGTGTCGACATTCTCAAGTCTAGTGAGTTGATGGTCACAGCCAGGTTCCCAGCAGTTGCACAAAAATCCCCGTGTTCAATTTCGTTCCGCCCCTAATTTGGCGAAATTCCATGTCTGGGATTTAAAATGGCTGCCAAGGTGACGAAGCACATTCCCGCATGCAGAGCGAGCGTGAAAGGGCTGCCCTGTTACTCTGCCCGTGGACCAGGCAGGTCGCTCGAAGCAGGGAACTCAGAGGTAGCTCCGTGAGATCCACTTCTCCGGAGACGCTCTCCAACACGAAAAGCTGCCGCTGCCCTGCGATCGGGCACTCTGTCTCGTGACGTGCGACGTCGATTGCGCAATCGAGATGCAATTGAGAGGGGGAAAAACGACAAGAACAAGAGCGAACAACCAAAATACAACGAGCGTGTCGACCAGGGGAGGCTGGAGATTGACAAAATGTCATCGTGGAAGTGGCCCTGGTAGTCACGTGCCGAACGGCAACGCCGGGCACTCGCTATGCTACGATAACCATTGAGTCATCGCCGTTGCTCTATCTCCCCTGACTGTAAGTCTTCTTTATGGTGCGTCCTGCAGAGGTTGTTAGTTTTTATTTACTTTTTTTTCATTTCTCTAGCCGCTTTATGCACCTCTAGCTCAACATCCGTGTCAGCGCCTCGCCCCCCCCCCCCCCCCCCGTGCTGTTGCTGACAGCCTGTCCCAACAGGCTCCCTCGTCAGCTACATTGAAATTAATCGCCGATTTCATTATTCTGTTCTCATTATTTTGCCTCTTTCCAATTTTTATTACAATCGTGCTATTGGTGATGTCGCCGGATTGAGTGACCATCTGGGTCTCTTACAGAGCAGTTTGTATCGCCCCACGGTGAGAAAATGGCCCACAGAAGGAGTAATCAGTGAACTACTTCTGACCTTTATAAATTCACTCCTTATGGAGTGCGTGCTTTCTCACACAATCCTATTGTGGTGAAATGTTTTGTTTGTGTGGTAAAACGTTGACATTTTTCAACTCTCTAAGCTCTAAAATTTAGATAATTTTAGTATAGAGAAAACGAACTGAATATGATCGGCTTTAATTGCAGCTAATTTGTGTTCCAGGATGAGATCGTCAACTCGCTACACTTGAGAGCCTCTGCTTGATGATGTATGACTAACCGAATTCAAACTCAGCATCTCCGCGGTGCCGGATCATTGCCCCTTGACCCTTGTAACCACCCAGCTTCTCCGAGTCTCTTAAGACTCATTCTCAGAATGGTTTCTGTTTGGGATAATTTTCCCGATTCCGTATCTGTGTAAATGGAGAGTAGCCGGAGCACCTGCAAGAACATCCCAAGCACACACACAAGGACAGCACTAATATCCTGCACTGATGAAGACAGACAATAGCAAATTTGCTGTACTGCCCTCCTGCAAACACCACTACATTCATGGTAGGTGGGTTTGTCCATAACCTGCCGGTCCCCGCGCATGCGTGATGCACTCACCCCATCTTCAAGTCACCGAATTATTGGAAGCGCCACCATACCTCGTCAATATTTAAGGATTATAAAATGGGAAACGGCGCTTGCAACCACCACCGTCTGCCACTTGGGGAGATGGTGGTTGTTGTTGTTGTTGTCGTTATTTCCATCATCACCACGTGATCAAGGCCTGTCCGGGAGATATTTACCAACCATCGAGTGAAGTCAGAGGGTGTAACCTCCAGTCACATGCGAAATTAATTTAATTTTCATGGTAATAAGCATTTGGATGAACAATCTTGGCCCAGATGGGAGGAGCGGAGGCATTTCATTAGAGGCAAAATTATGTTTCCGCAATTCATATTTTCCTCGTGACACTAACGAGGCTGCACCCGCCGTAGCTGCTGTGGCCTGACGCGATCGCAAACTTTGTTATCGACGGTTTGCGCTACGATTGAATTCACGTGAAAGAAACTGATGACGACTGAAAAAAAAAACGAAGTAAAGAAGAGAGAGAAAAAACGACTATCACAAGGGCACTTAGGGTTGTTCTTTAACACGAGCATTGAGTAAAGTAAAAAAACTAAAA